CCCTCAGCATTAATGCGGAACCCCAAGAACTCTACGGAGGGCACTCTCATGTGACATTTACTCTTTTTTAAACATAGCCCGGCATTCCTAAAATGCTGTAACACAGCCCTCAATTTGCGGATGAGATCAGCCCCATCCTTTGCAGCCAGTAATATATCATCAAAATATGGGACTACTCCATCTAGCCCTTGAACAGCCTTTCCATTAAACATTGGAAAATACCCAGGGCAAGTCAACCAGGAAGTATTTATTGAGAACCAAAAGCAACAGAACACAACAACTCCGGTTTGACAGCAGTTGTCAAACCGGCAACCAATTAGAACTCGTACTTCTCCTGCCAGAACGCTCCATGTGTATTAACCAATGAAAGCCCAGATACTGTGCTGATTGACACCCGAGACACAATATTAGGACCCCCCCCCCAAATTAGGATTGGGCTTATTTTCGGGGTGGGTCATATTTTTGGGGAAACACCGTATGAATTGTCAACTTCAGCAATGGTATTTCTTTTATTTATATACAGTATCACAGTTATATCCTGCCACAGTCATATACAGACTCTTATTAGCAATATTCTTGGAATTAATAACACCTTTAATTTTCAGAAAGAAAAAGTAACCTGTAAGTAGCAAGAGCAGTCATATTACATGATGACATTACAATACTTGAAAAGTTGTCAGTTCATAGCATTATCAAACCTTAAAATAAACCAAGTATTTGTGCCTTTTAAAAGAAGGAAAGTATCCAATTATTTAAATCTAGTTTTATAGAAAAACATTTTCCTTCCATCACTGTTGTTTAACTTTTAGTCCTACAAATTGCAATTTTAAAAAATCCAGATATCTTTTTGTTGCCCAAGATAACAAATTCAGATACTTTCATACAAATTATGGTCATTATAAACTCAAATTTTTAGAACATTTACTAGTGACAAAGTATATTGAATTATACAGAACAATGAAATAAGCAATTCCATGCTGTCTTGAATTACATTTTTAATATTGCTTAAAGCTTTTTAAAATACAATTTCATGGAACTTTGTTTTTATATATAACTAGAGCAATATTATTTTATGCAGAAAGATGGAAAGATTTGGCAAGCATATTACAGGAGTAGTTGGTGAAGATAACAGAACTTGCTGAAATGGTCAAATTGATCTGTTTGATTAAAGATGTTTATTGATGACTGGAAACTCCTTATGGACTTTTTGCTTTAAAAAGGGGGGGAAATGAACATGTGCTATTGTTTTGACAATTAGATAGGACAGTTATAGAAAGAAGAATCGTGATACAACTTTAGAGAAATAAATAAATCTACAATTGTACTTATAACTACTGCAAAGATCAGACACCATTTCTATTCTAGTTTTCATCCATCTTTTTTTTCTTTTTGCACTTTAGTTTTCTCTTGTATTTATTCCTTTTTTCCTTCTTAATTTTAGTTTGTATCAATTTTTACTCATTTTTAAAACTGTCAATAACTTTCATTTGTCCTAGTGTCAGGGGACAATCACTTAAATATGAGCCAGGAATGTGCTGTAGCCACCCAAAAAGCCAATGCAGTCCTAGGCTACATTAATAGAGGGATAAAATCAAGATCACGTGAAGTGTTAGTACCACTTTATAATGCCTTAGTAAGACCACACTTGATATTGTATCCAGTTTTTGTTGCCACAATATAAAAAAGATGTTGAATCCAATCTCGCCTGGACTACTGTAATGCTCTCTACATGAGGCTGCCCTTGAAGAGCACCCGGAGACTACCGCTGGTCCAGAATGCGGCCACGTGGGTTGTCATGGGGGTACCTAGGTGCTCCCATGTTACACCCCTTTTAGGCGGCCTGCACTGGTTTCCGGTTGTTTTCCAGGTG